ATTTGGTTGTTATGATTTTTAAAGCACGAGTTACTTTTTAAGACCCTTGTCTTTCATCAGTACCTAAATAAAAATTATATTCATTAAGTGGTCTGACATCTTGTTCTTGACACTGAAATTGGGAGAGTCCTTTTAACCTGTATGCTGGGATGAAATGAGAACAGACCTGTCTGCTGGTTTTCTATTATAGATGAATGATTGTTGGTCGGGGCTGGGGTAATAAAGTAATTTAATTTTGGACATTGATTAACTTCTTAATTCAGATGTTGGGATCCTTTTCTATCCAGGTCAGCTCATGAGGATTTGGTGAGATGAATTTTATAAGCAAACAAGAAATGTGTTTGCCCAAGACCAGGGAACTGCCCTGAGCTGTTGCTTACAAGTTCTTTCCTCTCAGCCTGGAATCACTTGGTCAGTAAGAGAGTGAACTTCGTAGCCTTTAGGCTGTGCTGTTAAATCTGGGGCACTTGGAGTCAGAGAGCCCTTTGCTTCTGACTGGCATCACACCTAAGGTTCTCCAACACCTCTTTCATGAGAGAAGAGAAATAAGGGGGGACCAAATTCCCATGTCTGAATTCTTGTTCTTGAAGGAAGTCTCTGTAGTGCCCTTACATGTAAGGGCAGGATCCCCCCATTCCCTCCACATATCAATCTCCTTCCAGAAGCAGCTCCCCTGAGATATTTGCACAGTAAGTTTGTGTTCTGCCAGTGGGACTCGCTGCAATGTAGGGTAATGTTCAGAGTGAGCCAAGATGGACAGCCAGTTTGTATTACCTAAAATCTGCACAGCACCAGTGCCTTGGAGACAAAGTGTATTTTATTAGTGCGTGGGAGAAACTGCAACATTGTTTTGTAATGTTTTTGGTAAGCAAGTTGATTATGTAGTGTTTTTCTGCTCTTTGTACCCGACATAAGGGGTGCAGGAGGGAGGCTGGGTTTTTTGCCCAGACATTTGTGGAGCCTTTCTTTTGTTCTGAACTATCCAAATAGTAGTTCTGGAGTTGTTTAAGACAGCTGTTTGGAGAAAAAGGTTAAGGTCAGACTGTTAGAAAATGTTTTGCATACTTTATGTTGATTTGTCTTAATTGCCTAAAATGCAAGAGAATTAGGATGGCTGGCTGGACGTATTAAAGTCCCTGCAGAAGGCAGGGTCCCAGACATTTTGTGCTTTTACTGAGATGACACCAAATTAATTTTTCTTTCCGGAATGATTTATAAAGGCTTCTAGAATCGTCTACATTGTCACACTTTCAAACCTTAGACATGTAACCCTTTTAGTGGGGTCTCTAATGGGGCTATTAAAGGTTGCAGACCAAAGCAACTAAAGAGTATCCTTAGAGCCATTTAATCCAAGACTTTGCTAAATCATTTTAATTTTGTGGAGGAGATGACAGGCTCGACAGAGGCACAACAGGTCATAAGGAACAACTTCTAATAGATTTCAGTAAGCATGAGGAAAATATTCTTTAAGTATAGAGAATATCTGCTATGGTGTTTTGCTTGTGGCTCTGGAAGTCTCTGGTTGGTGCTTCACTCAGGCAGCTCTGAGATGTTACCTGGCACTGCAGAGCTATAGCAGGAGCCTTAGAGATATGGTGCACATTATACTCCTTTTTCTTCACCTGCCTTTCCTCTTGTGATATTTTTGAGGGGCTGAAACTAGCAGCTCTTCAGTCACCCTAACTTGTCAAAGGCTGTCTTAGGAAAGAGTGTCTTTCCTCTCCCAAAAGTTAAGAGGTATCATATTCACAATGGCACCTTCTTATTGTTTTAAAAACTGGAAATTAAGTGCTCTGTTACTGACAGAAGGGAATATGCCAGTTGGAGCAATCCAGTAGGGACTGAGGCTGGCAGCAAGTTTTAGCCTGTGACTCACTTGGAGCAGTAGCCTTGAGTCACTCCTGCTTGCTGACAGATTGCTGTTCAGAAGGGGCCAACTCTGATCTTGATTCAGTGAAGGTCGTGCTGCAGATTCCTGATGTGCAGAAGTGCAATTAGGACAAAAATCAGACCTAAAGAATTTCAAATTTCAGCAGTGTCCAGTTGGGTAAGGAGTCAGTTCTGGGATATCTTTTATGTCCTAACTTGTACAAGGTGCATTCCTACCCCCAGTTTATGCAGTGGTGTTTCTGGACCACTGCAGCTATTAAGATGTGGTGGTACAACAGAAAGTCCAGGCAAGATCATCACGGGATAGGGAAACATTTTGTTCTGCCTGAAGGAATTCACAACTGAACATGCAGTGATTTTGGGAGAATGATGGTACACGTCTCCACAGATACAATCAGAACATCTGGAAATCCCCGTATGAATATTGTCCAATTTATTTTAAAGAAATAGGATTTTGCCTTACTGAGACATCTGTAAGGAAAGCTTGGTCAAGCAGCCTCTCAGTCTTCTTCATCTCCCACCCCAACCCAGCTTCCATCCCTTCCTCTATCCAGGTTCTCAGTAAATGCCTTAGTCACAGCCAAGTGACTGCAGTCTGAGAAGGCAGGTAGCAGAATGGGAAGTGCTCTTCCATAAAGAAAGGCATGTCGGAATAAGCCACGTATCACAAACTCCTTCTAAAACACCCCAACTGTAACAGAAACAAATATCTTATTGGCAATACCATAATGTTTGCATTCACACACCAGCTGTTACTCTTTCCCACAGGGTCTTGTTTTTTAAAAGGCTGGTGGAGGAAGATTTTGTTAAGCAGCAAATCTAGTCTTATTTCCTATATTGGCTGTATATAATTTTCCTTGGAACATTGGATTCTTAATTTTTTTAAAAATATTTGTGTGGTACATGTACTAACACATAATGGATTCTCTTTCCACAATATTTTTGACAGGCTGACAGTAAAGCATGGTGCACTCTGTCATTTAAAGCCGTGCATGCTTCTTGTATGGATTATTGGATTATCAGATTTGGGTTTGTTAACATTGTGTATGACTGAGTAATTGGCATGCTAAATTTATGAATGAATGTTAATGAATAAACTTCTTTTACTGAAGCTGAAATAGCAAAGCTATTCCTGGACCAGAAAGGCTGGTAGATTTTTGGCCTGTAATAAATTGAACATGTAACACAAAGTGGGAGAGGGAAAAAAAAAGGAAAAACATTGTGTAGAGTCAGTTCTAAGCAGGAATTACTGATTTTTTTTTTATCATTATTTTTTTCCTGCTTGGAAAATGATTGCAATATATAAAGCAATTTGATTTCATCCTCCCCCAGCAATTGAATTAAAGCATTTTCAAATGTTCTTAAATGTTAATTCGGGGAAAACTAAACTTCCAGAAATACCTTTTGTATGCAATATGACCTAATCATATATACCACATATGCATGTATATAATTCATGATATTATGAACCTCTTCATTAGAATCTGAAGTGACTTGTTTACCAAGGTTTTGAGTGCCCAGGACTGTACTTGATGTGCTGAGAGCCTGTAAGTGCTCACATGTGTTGAGTGATGCACAAGTGGGTATCAATATCACTTGTTCAGAGGAGACCTGGACAGAGGCTTCAATGCCAGGGCCATAGGAAATGCAAGCCTGAAAAGACTCTTTTATTTTATTTTCCTTTTACTTTCTAGTGTTTATGCTGTTTAATCTTGTTTGTTTGTTTGGGGGCTTTTTTTTCTTTTTCTTTTTTTTTTTTTTTTTTTTACCCAGTGCTTCAACACTGTTTTTAACTAAGAGTTTATTGCCACATACGTGTTCTCCCTTTCAATCCACCTCACTATATTGTGTAGTGCTGTGATACACTTGTGTCTGAGTGTCACAAGATGAGAAAGGATGGCTCTGAAGTATCGGGTGTTGGACATTGCTTTTCAGAGATTGATGATTTTAGTTATTTCTAGAATTTATTTTTTGGCTTACCTAAACATTAAATGCTTGGGGTTCATGTTGCAATCTTGCTGTCTCTGATTTCTTGTGGAGTTACAGAAAAAGTGGGATATCTCGATTTTTATGCCTGGAAAGACTTTAATGTTCAAAAGGAAAGAGAATGCTAGCTAGAAAAGTCTGGCCAGTATCAGCAGGTCTGCTACTGTGAATCATAAGGTATTATACCAGTGATGTGTATGCAAATAATGTCTGTGCTTTCCCATTAAACTACAACATGACACTTTGGTAAAATGCAGAAGTAAGAGCCACGCAACTGAAATGAAGTCTAAGACTGATGAACAAGTTCAGGTAGTGGCAGAGGTTTTTTCCTTCAATTGTATTTGGCATCTCTCACTTGCTACAGGCAGGCTGCATCTTTTGTGCAAATATAGGAGCTTCTATCTTCCAGTGTTTTTTTGTCCATTTAATAAAAGTACTGCAAGGATAGATGGACATGAAACAGTTCTTTAAGACTAAAGCTTTTCCTTCTATCTTTAGCCTTAAAGAGAAACTGAACACATCTAAACCACAGTCAAAGTACAGCTGGGCAATAATGAATATAACTGCAAAAAGCTCCCCACGTCCCCTTTGGCTTTCGCTTATATTCTACAAGGGAAGAATACTCAAAACAATGTAAAAGAAAAAAAGTTAAGAAGGAAGGAGATTATTTCTTTGCTTTCTGTGACTTTAGAACAGAGCAAGCTGAGGATAGAGGGTGAGCCCTCACAGATGAGCAGTGAAAGCATCCCACAGAACTCACCTGCAATATGAAGAATGGGGAGGGGGCGAGGTGGGAATATTTACCCGGGCAAATTCAAGTGCAGCGTTGCCAGCCGCCACTAGCTGTCACTTTGCAAGCAGCCGGGGTCGGTGTTTTCAGCACTGCGGTTGGCGAGATTGCGGTGCTAATTAAACGGAGTAACTCCCAAAGCCGCGGAAAGTCCCGAGCCCAGGGGCTGTGCGTGAGCCAGGCTCGGGGGAACCGGGGGGAGGCCGAAAGGCAGCTGGGGGAAGGCGGAACGCGGCTGTCCTGAGCCGAGGCTGTGCCCGGGGGCTGTGCCCGAGCTCGGGCTGGGCACGGCGCTCCAGCCCGCACCCACTCCTCGCGTAAAGCCGAGCCTTACCTGAAGAAAACGATTGTCTCCCACACGTAGACTCCGAGCGCGTTGACGTTGCACATTTTTCCAGCTCTCGCTGTTTGTTGTTGCTGATGGTGGTTTTTTTGTTGTTGTTGTTGTTTTGGTTTGTGGGTTTGTTTTTTTTTTTGTACTCCGTAAGGGGTGGGCCGGTGGGGTTGGCCAATAAAGTAACCCGGCACTTAGGGAAGAATCGGTGGGGGGGGGGGAAGCGAACCACCCCTGCCGGGGCCGGGGCGCGGCCGGGAGGGTCCGCTCAGCACCGCGGAGAGCGGCGGGCCCCGCTCAGCACCCGGACAGCGCCCGGAGCGCGCCCGCCCAGCACCGCGGAGAGCGGCCCCGCTCCGCCGCCGCCTCGGCTCGTCCCTCCTCCGCCGGGGCCCCCGCCACCGCCACTGCAGTGCTGCTGGGGCCGGAGCACCGGGCTGCCCGCGCCGAGACCTCCCTTCAGCGGGATGTCGCTCCGGACATCAGGCTGGCGAGAGCGGGGGGCGCAGCGGGTGTAGGTTTGCCATCGGGGTGGCGGGGGTGAGATGGGAGGTGGGGGGCGCGACGACCCTCAACAACCCCAGGGTTTAATCTCCGCTGCTGGCCGGGGTGTCTTCCTAATTACATCCACAGGAATTTGTCAGTGTGGAGCCGTGCTGCAGTCCCGGTTGTGTCGCTTTCTTGCCCGCCGTTTGGATGCTGTTGATTCCTGCTTCCTGGGCTTTTTTCCTCCCGAATAAGTTATTGCTGCTGTAGGGAAGGTGTCCCATTGCTCAGGGCTAGAGCGGAGGGGAGCGAAGGGGAAGTTTCTTGGGAAGCACTTCCATTGTGCTCGGAAAGAAAGTGGCTCACTGTCCTCCTAATGCATCTCATTTCCCCTCTGCCCTCTCTCCCCTGCTAGGACTCGCCAGATCTTGGGAGTTTCTTGCTGCATTAATTTACTAAACTAAAAAAAAAAGGAAAAAGAAAAAAAAAAGAGGGGGAGGTGGAGATGAGGGAAGGCAGAGGGGAGGGGGTAACTCAGCCTCTCCACCATCCCAAGGCCCTCCTCTTAGCTGTCCTCATTGGTCTCGGGGCTGAAAAAACTACTCTAGGACGTGGTTGGATAAACGCATGTTGTTCAGCAGAGGCTGTTAACCTTTAAAGCGCTGATACGTTTTGGTTTATTTCAATATTTTTAACCCGAATTGCTGTCTTTTTAAGAAGTCTCTGAAATCGTATCCCTTGACAGGGCAAGCGTAACGTGCCTTAAATCTCCATCTCGTGGAAGATCTGCTTGGCTGGCAGTTGATATGTGTTGCTGTTGGCTTTTAAGGAACATCTCTGTGTTTTGTTTTTTTGTTTGTTTGTTTGGCTTTGATTTATTATTTTTTCCTTTTTTTTATCTTTGTTTTATTTGATTTTTTTTTAATTTTTTTACACTTGATTTTGCGAAGAGGTTTGGCAAACACCAGAGCCATCAAGGCCAGGGCAGGTAAGGAGCATTTAGTAGTTACCTATTGCAGCTCCAGCTGTGCTCACAGGGTGCTGAGTATGGTGGTCGGGGTGGGGAGGAATGGTCTCAGTCACTTTGTCTCAGGCACTTTGTCAGCTCCTCATCAGCTTCTGAGAATTGAAATGAAAACTTAGCTCTCCTAAATGATCTAGCATATTGTTTTCTTCTCTATTGTCCTGATGTAAGGGGATCTTTCTTCTTTAGGTTCTGTTTTGTTTACCTGTCCTATGCTTTGCAAAACTCCCCATGGCAAAGAGTCACTTTTAACCCCTTTTAAGCTGCTTTTAATCTGTTCAAGGACTCCTCCTGTCCCATGTTGGAAGGGTAGAGGTGAAATGGACTGCTTTCTCCACCACTACTGAAGCCCCACCAGGCTGGGAAATAACTTTTTCTTCTTAGTTTGGATTGCATCTCAAAGGACCTCACTGCCATACTAAAATTTACCTGATGTTTCCGATCTCCTGTTTTTATTTGTTTTAAAGCAGTATATTTACTTAGTGAAGCAGACAGAAATATCCTTTGGGTTACCAATCAGAAGAAAAGAAAGACCTGCTTGGCTTCTAGCCATTGGTACAGTGGGAATTTAATCAGATTTACTCCAGCTCCTGGGTCTCAGTGTCTAGCTAGATTAATAACAGGCTCTGATTTCAACTCATGGAGACTCCTGGGGACATGATTCCATGCAGTGTTTCCTGCCTGCTGCTTGCTGGCTCCACACTTTACTTTCCCTCTTGACATTTATCCCCACATGGATGAGCCTCTGTCACTGTGCTTTTCCAGCCCCCAGTGTGCTGACAGACCAGAGGAGGAGCTCCAGCCTGGGAGTGTTAACAGGACCCACATAGCAGGAAAGCAATGGTGTTTCCTTGATTATTTTTTTTTTTAAAACTGGAAACAGGACAAAGAGCAGGAGGCAGAATCATCTCCTGGCATCTGTGGGTTAAGTCTAGAGGCTGTCGGCCTCCTGGTTCCCTTAGAAATGGAAATGGGCTCTGTAAGAGATATGACTCTCTCACAGGTGTTTCCCTTGCCTGTAAGATTGATCTTTTTTATACCAAAGGTATCTAGACTTGTCTCCTTTTTTCCCCACTTACTCTCCTGGCACTACTTCAGGTTAGGGAAGAAGGATGACTGTGCTTAAGATCAAGAAAGCAGATGAATCTGTGTGTATATAAGATAAAGAATCTTCACAGCTATTCCTGTTAAAGGATCTGAAAACTGCTTTTCCCAGGGAAAGAACTTCTTTGCTTTGCTGTCATCTGTCTTGTTGATGATGGTGACCAAGTGATTTGTGTGGGCCCAGGGACTCTTCTGCTGATATTCAAACTTCTTTATGGAGAGACTTAGGAACACTCTTTGCTTGGACATTGGGGAAAATGGAGGCAAAACCAGGTTGTAACAGATATCTGGAACAGGTCTAGGCATCAAGGTGATTTAGACCAGGGAGTAAATACAAAAGAAATGTAAGTGTAAGGAATATGAGTTTTGCATGTCTTGTCATGATGACCCCAAAGGAACCACACCTTCTGCATTACGTGTTTGTCTGTGCTCTGGCATCTCCCTCTCAGTTGCTTGGCTTGGTGCAGTGCCCTGCACATGCTCTGTGGATGTGTCAGGCCTTGGTCAGGGTGGCATCAAATCCTTGGAACTCACATCCAGTGATTTAACCCAGGTGATTCATAAAACAGCCAACCAGTCCTCAGTGCAACCCATCGACAGGGATATCCGTGGTGAAGTTACCCACATGTGTTGTGTGCAATCCCAGATGTTTAGGTTTTCTTTTGTTCTCCAAGAAGCTAAGGGCAGATAAACTGGAAATAGGTCTGGAGATCTAATAATGGCTGGAAGTAAATTTTATCACTGTTAGTTTAAGTAACCCTTGTCATCAGGTACTCCTCTCCCTGGATCTGTCCTGACTTGTTCTGAGATCAGGTTTTAGCTTTCTGCTTGGTTTAGCTGCAGTGCTTTCTGATTTATTTTCTGGGGTGAAGGGTTCACTTGCCAGGTCTCCCATTTTTCAAGCAGAGTCCAAATGCTTCTGAAAGGCATTTGTCTTTCTTTGGCAGCACTTGTACAAATGACAAAGTTGAAGATAACTTACCATGATGTCAAATGAGCTCCTAAAATTAGAATTACCTGCTGTGCGTTCATCTTGTTTTCAGTTTCAGAGTAGATGAGTCCTGTAAAACTCACTTGTAGGTGAAGTTGTCTGGAAAGCTTCTGTGTCATCGCCTTTCTGGGTTGTGAGTGATGGATTCTGTTCAACAGAAGATACCACAGAGATAATGGTTTTAATTTGTGTTCAGCACTCAAGTGAAATTTGGGGACATCTGAATAAAAGGGTGTACATGAGGAGTGATAAAAGCTAGGGAATATCTGCTTCTCCAGTTTCTTTTAGGTGGTTCCTCCCTGATCCTTTCCCTTTGAAGAATGCAAATGAATTTCTTCTCTGTGGAGAAAATGAATATTCCTGGTAGTCTGTGACTTCATTTTGGTGTTGATAGTTGATAGAATACTTAAAGACATGGAGAATACAGAAAGCCTTGGACAGCACTCAGTAATGAGGTGAAAATACACCATATGCTGAGAATTAACCTAAAACCTCATTCACAACTGCAAGTTGATTTTATTCTTGATCTCTTTTGTCTCTGGATTTTATAGTAGGTAGAGTAAATTTTAGTTTCTGTTGCTTGCCGTTTAAAAATTCACATTCTGATAATAAATTCATTATGGGGACAAACCCCTTCAAGTTGGCCATTCACACACACTGCCTTCCTTCACCAAATAAATTACAGGATTTTTGGTGAAGTGGCTGGCATAGCAGTAAAGCACACTCAGCCTATCTTGGGAATACTAAATCCATTATTGTCAGTTTGTTCTTTGGAGAATGGCTAATGAGGAAACAGTGCCCCAAGAACTTGGATTGTGCTTCTCAAGGCAGAGATTCAAATTGCTACAGCAGCACTACTTGCCTTTTGACACTGAACAAATGAAAAACAAATTTTAAATTAGAGTTAAGTTCAGGGAATTTTGCAAAGGATTCTATAAAGTAATTTCCTATTCAGCTAATTTCCATGTGCAGTAAGCTATTTCTCTGCAAGATGGTTCAAGTAAATACAATTTTCTTAGAAACTTGAGAACCTGGGGTACTTTTTTTAATCAAAATAATTGCTGGTAAAATAACACCATAAAGTGCTTCTGCAATGTTTTTTAAAGTGTTTAGTCAAGATTCTTTACTGAAAAGATTTACAGATGAAAGAGAATTCACTGGAACTAGTGTAAAGGTCCATCTTCCATCCATAGTTCAAAAAATATGTTTAAAATTGAACTCTGATGAAAAGTTTGATGAATTCTGTTTTGATATGCATTGACTCTTTGGAGAACAACCCCTGGAATGTCTTGCATAGGAAATTCAGCAAACTTGCAGCCTAAGGTTGGAAGGCTAGTAGGGGCGGAGGTGAGGGATTTGTGGTATAGGTGATTGATGTTTTTGACTGAAATTCAGACCAAATATCACTGTTGATGGTATTTTATTCCATGTGTTTTAAAAATTATAGCTCTAACTGTGTTTAAAGTTCAGCCCTACATCTTTCTCTGCAAACAGAGCAGTTATATGGATTGTCCATGACCTTCCCACTCCT